TCTTCTTCTACCATGTCTGACCATTTTGTTGATGACGATGGTATATCTCTTTCTGGCTGTGTACTTGATGACTGAATAGTTTGTTGTTGCAGTTCAGGCTGACTAGTGTTTTTGGTTTGTGCTTGCAGAATGGTGATGGTAGTTTTTATTTGCTCCAATTCCCCCCGCCTCTGAGAAAGTTGGACTTCGAGAGCACGAATTTGTTCCTCCTTTTGCTGTTGCTGGTGCTGCATTTGTTTGATTATTCCTTCCATTCGCGTGTAAGCGTGTCCGCTAGTGGATTTGCTGTTGACTTGATATACTTGAGATATGGGCGATAATAATGAAGTTGTTGTTGCCAGCGAATGAGTCTGCCTTTATTGAAGTCTGCATCCAGTTTGTATCTCCAAAAACCTGTAACATATTTAGAGTCGGTTCGTAATTCGAATCGACTGGTGAGTAATTCCAGCTTCCATTTTTTCAGTGTTCTGAGACAGGCTAGTGTCTCTAGCTCATGTATTGGGTAGTTTCTTTCAGTGGAAGAGAATGTTCCAGATATATATTTACATAACTTCTTTGTATATTTTTCATGTATTGAATGGTATTGTATAGTCATATTGTTTGGAATCATTCGATTCATTATTGCATCGAGATAGTGGTGAATCGTTCGATTCATAACTGATATAGGGTGAATCATGCGATTCATTGCTGATTATATTGCCATAGTGATCAAGTGATAGTAATTTTTTGCCTTCTGGTATTGCAAGCATGCAACCTGTCCATGTATCCCTTGATGCGTCTGTCTCAACAATAAGAAAATCTCGATCGCATGGGTTATATAATTTTGGTAAATGATCACAACTAGCCTTCATAAATTTTACCACATCTGTGTCCTTATCATCCCATTTCCAAGGTATTTTATCTAATATTTTTTGCTGAAGATATTTTCTTTCCTTTGCTAGATTTTTTAGAAATCCTTGTTCACTGATATAATTCAGACTTCCTAGAAATCGTTGTATTTGTTTTCTATTTTCCATTTTATCTGGAAATTTATCTAATTTTTCTTTAACATTAGTGGTTATTTCTATTTCTCCTGTACTATTTATTTTCATTCCTAAATACTCAATTTCATTAACTAACAATTTAGATTTCTTTTTTGATATTACTAGTCCTTTTTCTTTTAATCTTTCCAAAACTTTTATTAGTTTTTCTTCATGATCTATCCTATCTTTATTTGAAAAGATAATAATGTCATCAATGTATGCTAAACAAAAATCTTCCAACCCTTCTAGATTTTTATCCATAAATCTTTGATAAATTCCTGGGGCTTGCTTAATTCCAAATGGTAATACATTCCATTCATAATGTTTTTGTGGTGGACATGAAAAAGCTGTTAAAGGTTTTGTATTTTCATGAAGTCTTAATTGCCAATATCCTGATTTTGCGTCTAGGCTACTGAACCAAGTTTGTCCTTTCAATCGTTCCAGAATATAATCTTTTCTTGGTAATTTATAACTATCTCCTATAGTGTGTTCATTGAGTTTTTTATAATTTATTACCATACGTCTTTTTCCCCTTTTAATTTCATTATTATTTTCTACATAGAATGCCGGGGCACTATGCGGACTTTTACTTTCTCGAATAATATTTTTACTGAGTAAATCTCCACATTCTACTAAAAATTCTTCTACATCTCTTTGAGTATATTGTATTTTATTAGGAACATTAACTTCGATATTTGGATCTTTTAGTTTAATTTCTATTAATTCTGAATTTGTGTTTTTTATACTATCCAAAGGGTGTTCACTACAGACTTCCTCTAGTTTCTCTTCAACTATTCCGCATGCTATTTGAATATATTCGAGTTTATTCTTAAGTCTTTGTAGGACAGTCCTTAATACTTCATTTTTTGTTATTATCTTGGTGGTAACGATTTTTGACTCTTGATTTTTCATTTTTGGAGCTTTTAGACTTATACTCCTAATTCTTTGCGTAAATGGCTGATATAATTTAAGAAAATTATTTCCTATTATTATGTCCAATCCTGAATCATGAAGATATATTGTCTTGGCAGTAAAAATATATTGTTCTATAATTATAGGCACGTAATGTTTTACATACCAAATTTCATGGATAGATTTATCTGCAACGATAATTTTTAATGGTTTATTTAATTTATCCCATCCTTTAATGGTTGATTTTTTAGCAAAGCAAAGTGTTGCTCCTGTATCTATATATGCTAAAAGGTTCTTATTTTCAATAGTGACTTTCATGAATGTTGCGTTAGGGTTATTCCTAACTAGAACTTTCTTCTGACTCATCTGAAGATTGTTCTAAATCTGTAAGGTATTCGATAATTTCTATGTCTGATGATTCAAAATCTATTTCTTCTATAGGTTCAAAACCACAATCATATGCTATTCTTAGAACTTCCTGCTTTTTATTATTAGTGTTTTTCTTTGGACATTTATTAGCATAGTGTCCTTCTTCATTACAGAGCCAGCATCGACAGTTAGTTTTGCCTTTAGGGCAGTAATCTTTCTGAGTGGTTTTCTGTTTAAATTGTTTCCTGTTTCTAAAATATTTATTAGGGTTTCTATACCTATTTTTTCTATATTCCTTATAGGGTATCTTTCGCCATTTTTTGTATTTTTCATATCTCCGCTTTTTCTTTATTTTTGGACGTTCATTACTACATCCGTATTTTCCTACTTTGTCTGTGGAAACCTCACAACAGAGGTTAATTTTTGCTTGCTCTTTCAATTTTTCTTCATTACAGGCTCGTTTATGTCATTCTTGTAAAGCTAGAATTCGTCCTCCTAACGTATCTGGTACTTCCTCTTTTTGAACTGCTTCATTAAATGCAGTTTCTACTTTTTGTGCTACTAATAATGGTAATTTAGAAAAGAATAATTTATCTAGGTCCTTTCTTACAGACGGAATAACCTGATAATAATGTATTTTAAATTCGCAAATGAATGATTCTAAATAACACATATTGCAGATTCTTAAATTCGTTAGGTGCCAAATAGCCTGATTACTTAGGGTTGCATTAGTTTCTTTTTCTCTTGGATATCTTCCTAGAAATTCATAAGTTAAAGCATTTAATACTTTTTCAAAAGTTTTTATAGCATCATCTCCGTATAGACTTGTTTTTGCAGGAATATCCATTGTACTCAAATAATGATAGACCGCTCCAGTGGTTTTGTATATTAGAAAATTAAATATTTCGCTAGGTTTAAGTTTTTCTAAATCTTCGTTGGTTTGAATTAATAATCCTGTTCGATTTTTCCAGTCTTCTAATTCTTTTAATGGATTAGTGCTACAGTCTAAGTCTAGAATATCTGAATTATTATAACTTGTTGTAGAGTGTTTGGGAATGTATGAGTGAGGAATTTTCGTCCATTCTCCCCCCTACGAGGAACGTCATAATTTTTGTAAAGATATTCATCAAAGTGCATTTGACCATCGTTATATTCATTAAATCGTCTTTTATTTGATTTAATGGAATCGTGTTAGATGTGTCGCCTGGGTTATTTTCTGTTTTCATGTAATTTGCATATGGGTTTTCGTCACTACTGTAATCTAGCACTACTTTATCGTTTTCAATATGATCTTCATTATCTGATTCAATATTTAAAGTCATTAATAAATCATTTAGTTTATTTATATTTTCGTCTATAGTTGTCATATTAGATAAGGTTTAACAATTGTTAGTTTGCTAGGATTATTATGATTTTCCAAACATTTTTTCATATCTTCTATAGTAAGGTATCGAGTGTTTTCTAATTTAATTATTATTTCTTGAAGGTTTATTATTATTTCTCTAAGATTTTCTTCTGGCAATATTTTATTTTCTTCAACGTGAGAGCTTTCAATAGCTTTTCCTTTATTCTGTATTTGTTTAATAATATTATCTATTATATTCTTGGCGGTTTCTAAATCAGAGTATAATTCTTTATGTTTTTTATTTACTTGATGTTCTAATATTGTTCTTAGATTTTTATTATTTTCTTCTAATGTGCTTATTATAACTCCTTGATATTCATTTAGCTGTTTCCCAAGTTTTTCGATTTTTAATGATATGTTTTCTGTGGTCATTAGTACTTATAATAGTTTTTAAGACTTTGAGCATCATTTTGTAATTGTTCTGCTAGTATGGTAAATTTTCCCTTTAGTTCCTCTTGACTCAAGACTGAAAAGGATAGTAGAGATTTAGTAAGTTTGATCTTTTTTTTATGAACTACTTGTTCATTTCTCGTAGACACACGTCGCCTTCTAATTAAGAAACCAAACATATTGTGAACACACAAATTTCAATAACGCTTCAACTCCTCCATTGCTTGCTTGTCACAAGCAACTTACTTCAAATTCTACTCGGATCAGCCTGACCCATGGCGGCTAAGCTAATGGGGCTTGATTTCCTCCCCATCTTGTGTAATGCCTGCAACTGGTAATTAGTGGTAACCACCTAGCTAGCCAGGATGGTTCTGTTGATAGTAAGAATTGAGTGATGTAATTTTATGAGTTGAGATAAACCGGAAAGTGGTGGTAATATATAGAATCTGGTTGCCATAGCTGCTGCTCAAGTCTTTGCTTCAGCGGGACATGTAATTAGAGACGATAATGGCGTTGTCATTTCAACATAACATGCCATGGTGATTAATTAAGCATTCGTATTTGTGTATTAATTAGTAGAGAATTAGACAGAGAATGCACACTAAAGACATCTCTGCGCCACTGTCCACTAGCGAGGTCGCTTCATCACCACCTTAGCTTTTCGCAGAAATTTCCAGGCAAAGAAACGGACAACAAAATGTCGATGTACCGCCAGCAAATGCAGACAAATCGAGTAAAGAACAAGTGAACAACCTGTAAAGACGAGTCAATTCATTTCAGTACCTGGCCCCCGTCTTGAACAGATTGTAGTTTCACTTCCACCATTCCCCCCCCCCCCCCCCCCCCAGATTCCCAAATCTGTAATCAACTCTTTTCGCCGGTGGATTGATTGATCGATCGTAATGGACCTTTCCGGCGAGCAATTCGATGTAATCGTGGTCGGAGCCGGAATCATGGGCAGCTCCACCGCGTACCACCTGGCCAAGAGAGGCCAGAAGGTGCTCCTCCTCGAGCAATTCGATTTCCTCCACCACCGCGGCTCCTCCCACGGCGAGTCCCGCACCATCCGGTCAACCTACACCGACGACTACTACTGCGCCATGGCCGTCGAATCGGCCCGTCTCTGGGAGGAAGCCGAATCGGAAATCGGGTACAAGGTCTACTTCAAGGCGCCTCACTTCGATCTGGGTCCTTCCAACAGCCAGAGCCTCCGCGCCCTGATCGCCAGCTGCGGCAAGAGATCCGTCGGGTGTCGGGTTCTGGATCCCCGCGAGGCGGAGGAGGAATTCGCCGGCCGGTTCAAGCTGCCGGAGGACTGGATCGGGGTTTGCACGGAGCTGGGCGGGGTAATTAAACCCACCAAGGCTGTCGCGATGTTCCAGACTCTGGCGATTCAGAACGGCGCCGTCTTGAGGGACCGTACGGAGGTGAAAGGGATCGTGAAGGATAACGAGAGAGGCGGAATTAGGGTTCTAATCGGCGACGGCGGAGGAGGGGAAGAAATTTGGGGGGAAAAGTGCGTGGTGACAGCTGGAGCTTGGACGGAGAAATTGGTGAAAATTGTGAGCGGGATTGAGCTTCCGATCCAGCCCGTGGAGACGACGGTGTGCTACTGGAGGGTGAAGGAAGGGCACGAAGGTAAATTGGCGATCGGAGGCGATTTCCCGACGTTCGCCAGCTACAGCCAGCCGTACATCTACGGGACGCCGTCGCTGGAGTTTCCCGGGTTGATCAAGGTGGCGGTTCACGGCGGGTTTCCGTGCGACCCGGACCGGAGGAAGTGGGGGCCCGGGAAGGCGGTGGAGGAGCTGAAGGGGTGGATCGCGGCGACGTTCGGCGGCGCGGTGGAGACGGAGGGAGGGCCGGTGGCGAAGCAGTCGTGTATGTACTCCATGACTCCCGACGAGGATTACGTGATTGATTTTCTGGGCGGGGAGTTTGGGGAAGATGTGGTCGTCGGCGGCGGGTTTTCGGGTCATGGGTTCAAGATGGGCCCGGTGGTTGGGAAGATTTTGGCGGAGCTCGCGGTTCACGGGGAGGTGAAGGGAGTTGTGGAGGAAGGGATTCTGCGGTATTTTAGAATACAGAGATTTGTGGAGAATCCGCTTGGGAATCCCAAGGAGTATTCTGGTGAGTGATTTTCTCATTAATTTGTGTGCGGAATTGTTGTGGGATTCGACTACGGATCATTGTAACTTGTAAGGAAGAATTTTCCGTTAATGAACGTGTAGTCCACCCGAACGAACCCAATCGACATATTGCGCATTTAATTATTGTACTACATACAAATAATTACAAGCCATCTAATTTTACCTACCTCATCGTCCACCAAAATTAAAACAAAAATACAAGTGTAATATGCTTAATTACACTTTACTAATTTAATCGGTGGGAGAGGTTATGGTGATTACTTAGTATTAGTAATTACCGTGGCTACTAGGAATACAAATGATATTTTGCTTTCATTACAATCATAACTACCATAATAATTACGTGGATGATTGGGGAGAGATAATCACGGAAAGTCATTATTAGACAATTAAACTACCATAGGTAATGCGAAACCAAGATAGAAGGAAGAATTGTCTAACATTATTAGACAATTAACCATATTCAATTTAGATTGAACATTAATTGATCATATATGCAAGACGGGAATATCGATGAGGACATGAAATGTGATTGACAACCTCCATCCTCATGGGCGATGGGGAAAAAAACTATACATTTAAAGAAGAGACAATTAATTCAAAGTAATGTTATAGGTTGTTTTGAATCTCAGTGAATTACCCAACATGTTGTACTATGCATTAGGGGTGGGAATCGGTCGGTAAACGGTAAACCGTTTACCGAATTTACCGGTTTCGGTATACCGACGGTGGGCAAACTGTTTACCGTTTACCGATACCGGTTTGTAACCGGTTTACCGATTACCGAATTACCGGTAAACGGTTACAAACCGGTTTACCGAATTACCGCAAAGGAAGGCTTGAGGCGGTTTTTCGGGGCGGTTGTTGGCTGGAGGAGGAATGGCGGATGGCTGTTGGTGGGCGTTGGCTGTTGGGACTGGGAGGAGGACGGCAGAGGCGATTATTGGATGCGTTTCCGTCTCTGCCGGGGAAATCGAGAGGGGGCAGAGATGGAGATTTGGTGAGTGATGTGAGGGTTGGGACTGGGAGGAGGACGGCAGAGGCAGGGGATTAGGACTGGTGAGTGATTGTTCGAGTGATGTGAGGGTTTGGAAACTTTGGATGCAGGGGATTAGGGCAGGTGGTGGCGGCCCGCAACTGGAGGAGGAATGGCGGCGCGGCGTCTTCTGCTCTGCGTCGGGCGAAGGAGAAGCGGAGTGGAGAGGCGGCGGGAGAGGCGGACTGGAGAAGAGAGGCGGCGGCGTCTTCTGGTCTGCGTCGCCGTCGGCGACTCTGCGTGCGAAGGGGAAGGGTCGAAGGCACGAAGGCACGAAGCGGCTAGGGCGAAGGGATGAAGCGGCGAGGGCGAAGGGGCGAAGGAGGCGTTTGCGTTTTGGCAGGGGCGCGCAGCCTTTCAGCTACGGTTTCATTCCCTAAAACGCCGCCGTTTCCAATTCGGTATTTACCGATTTACCGACGGTAAATACCGACCCTGTGTCCGGTAAATTGGATCTTCGCCGTCGCCACCGGATACCGATACCGACGGTAATCGGTTTACCGTTTACCGACCTTTACCGGTTCGGTAAAACGGTAAACCGGTTACCGTATTACCGATTCCCACCCCTACTATGCATAGGGCTGTAAATGAGTCGACCTACTCGTGAACGGCTTGAAACTCGACTCGAGAAAAACTCGTTCGAAACTCAACCCGTTTACAAACGAGTCAAGCTTGACCTTGTCAGCTCGCGAAACTCGTGAGCTAGCTCGACTCGGTGGCTTGTTGAGCTCAACTTGTGAGCTGGCTCGTTTAGAGCTCATAAGATGTCTTAACATTGTGACTAGAGAGGTAACCCGTCTACTACAAAATTATCAGCGAATCGGTCTACATCATCGATAGTTCACATCATCGATCCTCCCATTTGGGAAAAAATATGGAATATCCAAGTCCCACCTAAACTTAAATTCTTCATATGGCAGTGCCTAAAAGTAATTATCCCGACAAGGAGACCCTTCAAACTCGTGGAGTAAACTGTCTTAATCGATGCCATGTTTGCTGGAGACATCGAGAGAGCATTGAACATTTATTCTTCAGATGCTCCTAGCCATCAGATTGTGGACTTTAGTGGGATTGAGCAACTTCATTGACTCCGCCCATATTGTTTGTAACACCCCACCCAGAATCTCTATGGTTGAACCCGTGGTTCAACCGCGCAGCCAAATCCTCGGTGTTGCTGGTTGAACTCAATCATCTCAAACATCATATCCGATTATTAAACACAAACATAAACCGTTATCATACAAACTCATTATTCGATCCCCAACCCACTTATTGAATTTTACAAGATGTGGGTTATTATTGAAAACACTCAAAGCAGAAATCCTAGGTGACCATGACAGAACAGTGTTCCAAACTACCTCATGATGGTAGTACAGAAGGATAGGGCAGCCTCAGTAGTCCGATCCTAGTTGCACCTACGAGCCTGAAAACAGACGTGGGTCAGCAACTAAGCTGTGTGCGTGGATCTTTCCCACGACCTAATTTTGGGACCACAATCAGCTAATCAAACAATCATAATCAATCATGATTTAGTACTCTAGATGCCAGCTTAAATCATCATATATAAATTTCCGATCAAATTATCGAATCCACCAACTCATCATCACCAAATCAATTTATCCAATAAGATAATCACATAATTTCACGAACACATAATCAATGCATGATATGAAAATTCCGGTTAATTATTAATGGCGCCAAGGTCACCATACACTTACCCTCGTTCGAGCAAATCATCATCCGTGGTGCTCATGCAACCACAACACTCAATCTGTGGTTCTTAACCACAACACTCATCCGTGGTTTTTAACCACAACACTCATCCGTGGTGCTCAGGCAACCACAACACTAAATAGCATAAGCGAGCTAAATCTACCCACTCTCAAGGGTTGAGGGTAAGTGCAGGCCCTTTCTATATCTACGTGAATTAGTATGATCACGAATCAAACCATTTCCATTTTTCTCATCCATCACAATCAATCCGGAATCAATCTAGTCTTACGGATTAACCAGTTCATATATATATTTCCCGTCGATTATCAACTCGACGTTTCTAAAAAATCAACTATTTCATCATCCAATACCAAATCACATAAATCATCTCATTCTCCAGTAAAGCTATTCAGCAGTACCATATCACCGTTCCTCATCCAAAATTCATCAACAATTTCACGAAATAGCCCCGATGCAAATAATTGTAAATAACCCGATTGCGGTTAAAAATGTCCTTAACTCAAAATTCACTTTCCTTCAGTAAAATCCTCACAAAATTCATGTAAATGAATTTATTGACACAAAAATTCATTTAATCCAGTTCTGGTCACAAAAAATCAATTTAGACAATAAAATATCAACAATCTCGTATTAACCATTATTTTACGGTAACTTACATTCCAACAAAATGGTAAATCCAAAAATCTCCCAAAATACAAGAACCTCCATTTATCATCCTAAAACATGTCTGTCCAGTTTTTATATTTTTCAATAGCTCCAAACCATGAAAATAATATTACACTCGTTATTTATCGCAAATCTCGTATTACGCTCATTTTTACCGTTTTAAAGATAAAAACTCCACCAACTATCTAATTTACCCTTTTCAGACCACAACCCATTTAACAATCCATACTGACCATTTTGAAGTGATCCAAATCTTAAAGATAAATAAAACACATTTTTACCGAGCTTTTCGTAAAATTCACCGTTATACAGTTTTTAATCCGAAAACCATTTTCAAGTGAAATCTTCTGCTCAAAAATCTCTTAGATCAGTTTTAGACTCAATAAACCCAACTATTCATTTTTACGTGGAAACTTGTCCGTGCGGCGTCTTGAGGTGCACTCATTCCTCAAGACCAGCCTCTCTGCATACGCATGCCAACTGGTTTCGCCCTGCCTTGGGCTCATCAGGGAGACGGCAATAGCCTCCGACCAGTTGTGCCTTCTCTTGCAACGATCCCTTTCATAGCCACATCCTGACTCGGCCAGATGCGATGCACAGGCAGACAACGCCTTATCGCTAATGTCGCCCCCTTTACCCTTCTCATGGCAAGACAACCAGATGGCAGCGTTCTTCAGACGACCAACACGGTCACGACATTTCGGGTCGTGACATTATACCGATATTTACACCGTAAAATCCATAACAATCAAGAATAATCATCATATCAACAAATAAGTCATCACCCACAGTAATCCATCCATCCAAATATGCAAATCAAGCATAAATAGTCGATGCAATAATTAAGGTCCTCTTAATCCCCACACACCTTAATTTAGCTGATTCCAAGTCGGGAATTAAATTCTAAAATTCCAGAGTTTGGCTCCTAAAAATTCTCCTTGTTTCTACGATCTTGTAGGCAAAAACGGTTCGTCGTTTGGACGTCAAATGAAGAAACTGCGAGCTGATCATCGTTAGTACGAAATTAGGGATTAATTCTTAATTTTCTGCTGTCCAAAATCTGCAGAAAACTGGAAATTCCCTTACCTCTAGTCCCAACTTCCCGGCCTTGTTTCTCCCTCGTCTGAGCTCGAAATTCAATTCCGTAAACTCTGTGACGCTCGTGGTGACTTGCTCTTTGTAACAGTATCAAGTTTCGAAGCTGATGTGGCCTGTAGTGGCACTGGTTTGGCTGACGAAAAGGTTACGGCAAATGTTTCGGTAAAGGATATTTGGTGAGTTGGTTTGGCGATTTTGGCTTGTAAACAGGTTTGTATAGATTCTAAACCTTTGCTGGGAATACAGAGACTATGCTAGGCTTTGGTTTCATATTATTTCTTTTCTTTTCTCTTCTTGGTGTTTGTACGAAGGCAAAAATGGAGAGCTAGCTTACCGGTATAATAGAGCTCTTTGATTCATGCTCTTACCTCTTCATTTACTTTCCAGCAGATGGAGTAAAGGCCTGGGGCGGCCTTCTAAGGAGCAGTAGCTTTGAAATGAAGAAACTCAAGTTCCAAAGCCGGCTCCATAAACAAGCTAGCTTACTGAAACCAGCATAGTCTAACTGGTTAGGTTGCTGAACCCTTCCTTACTGACCAACAGGTCAGAGGTCCGATTCCTACAGCTAACAATATATTTTTGTTGCACTTTTTGATGTTTAGGGAGTTTTTAAGTGGTTTCATTGATCCTACCTCGTATAGGATAACTTCTCGATTTTTTTTCAGCCTCGAATCGTACTATATGCGTCCGCTACTTCGGGGAAAAAAAATTTATTCGATGTTCGGGATGTTACATTGTTAACTTTAGTCTATGGTGGCGACATGTCATGGTCTCAAAGACCTCCCAATTCCACATTCTCCAGTGCGTCTGATTACTCTTGAGAATCTGGAAGTCTAGAAATAAAGCGACTTGAATTTTACCAACCTCATGTCCGTTCCCTAGCCAGACAATTCTACAACCAGGTCCTTGAAGTCTCTAGTCTTCTCCTCCCTCCTTCACCCCGCAGATCTATCCTCCCTCACCGCCCACCCGTCACGTGGGATCCTCCATCAGAAGATTATTTGAAGATCAATTTCGATGCACCTGTTAGTGCCACCGGGTGGTCGTCAGGGCTTGTGGTCCGTGGGTCCGACGGACATGTGGTGCTGGCGTTCGGGTTGCGTCATCAGGGAGTAGTCAACCCCTACCTAGCAGAGCTTTTAGCTGTTAGAGACGAAATCTCCCTCGTAGCCTCCAAATCCTTGTCTCACGTGATAGTGGAGGGCGGTTCCGAAGTGGTCGTCAATCAGATCCGCCAAGGAGTCTTAGAAGATTCCATTAGTGGTCAGGTGCTCCAGGAGTGTCATCAGTGTTGCCCATAGAGTGACGCGTAAAGCACTGCTTTTGTCTCTTTTAGAGCTAGAATCTTTTGATTTTTTGGGGTGGCTTCATTAGTCTATCACTTGTAAGGGGTTCTCGGTAGTTTTGTTTGCATAACTCTTCTCTTGATATCACTCGAAAATAAATAAATAAAAGAATCGGTCTACATCTTATGATTTGAATTTTGACAATTCATTGGTTTGCTAAACTATATATTTCACCCTATATGATGTTTGAGATGTTAAATATGTGAGCAAATGTGTCTTTTAATTATGAAAAAGATTTATGTATCATAGATTGAGTCGATACTAACAAGATTTAGACAAGTTAATATTTATTAACCAAATAGTTTGATACTAACAGAGTAGAACACGAGATTAGTTAATGTTGAGCGTTTGACTATTAGTTTTTTCAACATAACATCTATCACACATGTATCAAATATAGCATACAAAATTGTTTACCACTAAAAAATCACTCAATACCACATTGATTATTTTCAAGGAGCGGTAGTGATTTATAAGGCCAACTTAACCATATTAATTAAATTGGTTTAAGCTGGGCCTAAATGATGGTATTTTGGGCTTCATACCAGGTACCTCAACACACACTACTTGACCCACCAAACACCCACCCGTCACGCAAGAGGGGTCAAGTGTCAAGCGTTGACACCCTTCAACATCAACCACCCAAGTGGGCACCCCATCATACTTAGCCAAAATTGAGCTCCACCAGTCGCCTACCTACCTCGCGGGTAATTACCCCTAGACATGATGGGGCGAAGAAAGCCAAAATTTGGCTAAGTGTTGAGACCCACAACACAAGGAGGGTCATGCATGACACCATCCAAGGGGGTCATGCATGACATCATCCCAGGGGGGGGTCATGCATGACACCGTCCAAGGGGGTCATGCATGATGTCATGAAAAGGGGTCATTGCGCTAGACCGTGATTGGAAAGAAGGCAAAAATTGGCTAAGTGTTGAGACCCATAGCACAAGGGGGGTCATGCATGACACTGTCCAAGGGGGTCAAGCACAAGGGGGGTCAAGCATGATGTCATCCAACGTGAGTCGATGTTGGCAAGTGAAGAAGGGCAACGCTAGTCTAGCGAGTCCCTAGACGTGGTGGCAAAGAGAGCCAAAATATTGGCTAAGTGTTGAGACCCACAGCACCAGGGGGGTCATGCATGACATCGTCCAAGGGGGGGTCTCGTCCAAGGGGGTCAAGCACTACGCCATCTACCTACCTTGCACCAAGGGGGTCAAGCGTGATACCATCCAATGTGAGTTGAGTATGACGAGACGCGAGCTAACTGTGGTGGCAAAGAGAGCCAAAATTTGGCTAAGTGTTGAGACCCATAGCATAAGGGGGGTCAAGCACTATGCCATCTACCTACCTTGCACCAGGGGGATCATGCATGACACCGTCCAAGGGGGTCAAGCACTAGGGTGTCAAGCATGATGCTGAGGTGAAAATTGGCTAAGTATGGAGATCCAACCGTCCAGGGGGGTCATGCATGACACCGTCCAAGGGGGTCAAGCACCAGGGGGGTCATGCATGACATCGTCCAAGGGGGGTCTCGTCCAAGGGGGTCAAGCACTACGCCATCTACCTACCTTGCACCAAGGGGGTCAAGCGTGATAACATCCAAGGTGAGTCGAGTATGGCGAGACGCAAGGGGGGTCTAGCCACGTACCGGGTATCAAGCATGTTGGCAAGGGAGTCCCTAAACCATGGCGGTGAAGAAGGCCAAAATTTGGCTAAGTATGGAGATCCAACTACAAGGGGGTCAAACACTGATACCAAACACTAGGGTGTTAGCCATGTATATCATCACATGGTAGACCACCTTGTCAAGACCCTGCAAGCATGATGCCACCCCAAGGGGGTCCGTGTGCATCCATCAAACCCCCCAATCACCCTGGTGTCGAGCATGACGTCATGTCAAGGGGGTTACACGAGTACCACCAAGCGTGAAGCCTTCACTCACCAAACAAGACACCTCCATGACACAAGGGGTTAGCTATCAAGTGGCAAGCACGCAAGACAGTCAATGCATCAAGCAAGCTACATCAAACACCAAGCAGTGGAGCAGCGGTTACCAAGAGGCGGTTGCACGACAGTTACAAGGGATGACTATAAATAGGAGAAACGAAGACGAAGCAAAGGTTCCACAACCAATCATTTGACACACAATGTCAAAATTTATCTTTTCCCTGCAAATCAGCTTTTAGTTTTCGGAGCTCTCACTGAACCTCCATAGGAGTAGAGTAACGTAGCTTGTTCCCAAAAAACCATCAAACAATCAAACACCCTCGTTCGAACATTGTTCGGAGAGGAGTGGACCGTGTAATTATCGTTGTCCAAGAAGTCAAAGGTGCATTGATTGAAATCAAACACCAGATTTTCCTCGCCGGAAAACAAAAATAAATGTATCAAATATGAATCAAGATTTTTGTAAACAAGTCTAATTCGACTCATTAATAAATGCGCTCTAGCTCGAATCCAGCCAAGGATATATGCATGATAAAAAAATCATCTCCTGAGTACTGGCTGTTAGATTGGAGTTCAAAGTGGATTACCCTAGCAATTAACCTTTCCATTATTATTATCCCTGTATTCAACTTTCCCTCCTGGTTTACCTACCCATGGTCAGAAAACGCCGGCGTAACGTCCCCGTCGAACTGACTCCCGCACGTTAGGTACATTACACCTGCAGGGTCGGCTTCATCATCCCTACCCTTTGCTATTTTCGCAGAAATTTCAAGCAAAGAAACAAGAGCTGGAAAATAACAGGTGTTCAGCCATTACAAGCCGTCGGTAGGATCCCCATGAAACCTTTGTCACGTTTGAGAAACGACAAGACAAAGAGACACGACCAACTGTTCTGTCAATTCAAGTGGTTAGATTCCACAATTTAGTATCCAGTCGATATGATCACGAGCACTTGTCGATAGTGCAGACAAAATGATTACAAGTCTGGTGCAAAGTGAAAAGACTTTAAAAAACAGAGCACTCTGTTCACTCATTTCATTATTATCTTTAAAAACAGAGACCCGGTAGTTAGTTCCATACTTTCCGCAATCAGGAAACGATGGGCCTTTCCGGCGAGCAGTATGACGTGATAGTTATCGGAGCCGGTATTATGGGCAGCTCCGCGGCTTATGAACTAGCAAAGAGAGGCCAGAGGGTGCTCCTGCTGGAGCAATTCGACTTCCTCCACCACCGCGGCTCGTCGCACGGCGAGTCCCGGACCATGCGGGCGACGTATCCAGACGGCTACTACTGCCCCATGGCCGTCGAAGCTTCCCGGCTCTGGGAAGAGGCCGAATCGGAGATCGGGTACAGGGTCTACTTCAAGTGCCCGAATTTCGACATGGGGCCCGCGGAGAACAAGAGCCTCCGCGCCATCATCTCGAGCTGTCGGGAGAGGTCCATTGACTGTCGGGTTCTCGACCACCGTCAGGTCGACGAGGAATTCGACGGTCGAATTAGGATCCCGGAGGACTGGATCGGGGTCTGCACGGAGCTCGGCGGGGTGATCAAACCCACCAAGGCGGTTTCGATGTTCCAGACTCTGGCGTTTCGAAATGGCGCGGTGTTGAGGGACCGCACGGAGGTGAATGAGATTGTCAAGGATGACGTCAACGGCGGAGTTTTGGTGGTCGGCGAGGGAGGGAAATTTTGGGGGAGGAAGTGTGTGGTTACCGTTGGAGCTTGGACGGAGAAATTGGTGAAGAGGGTGAGCGGGATTGAGCTTCCGGTCCAGCCGGTGGAGACGACGGTGTGTTACTGGAGGGTGAAGGAAGGGCAGGAAGGTAAATTGGCGATCGGCGGGGGTTTTCCGACGTTCGCCAGCTACGGGAGGCCAGGGGTGTACGGGACGCCGGAGCTGGAGTTTCCGGGGCTGATCAAAGTAACGCTGACCGGCGGGTACCCGTGCGACCCAGATAAGAGGCCGTGGGGACCCGGGAAGCCGACCGAGGAGATGGAGGAGTGGATTGAGGCGACGTTCGGCGGTTTGGTGGAGACCGGCGGCGGTCCGGTGTCGAAGCAGTCGTGTATGTGCTGCATGACGCCGGACAAGGATTACGTGATTGATTTTCTGGGCGGGGAGTTTGGTGAAGATGTGGTCGGCGGCGGCGGGTTTTCGGGTCACGGGTTCAAGATGGGCCCCGCCGTCGGGAAGATGCTGGCCGATCTTGCCGTTGAAGGGGAGGTGAAAGGAGCTGTGGAGGAAGAAACTCTCCGGTATTTCAGAATACAGAGATTTGTAGAGAATCCACTTGGGAACCCGAAGGATTTCCTGTAACAGAAGGAGTAATTTAGGTTTCAATAATCATTGGAAGGAAAGAACTCTTCGTCCGATTTAATAAACCGCGACCAAAGGATTGGTCTAGTGGTAATTCGAGTACGATCGGCCATCGAAAGCTTTCAAAACTGGTGAAGAAAATATGAACTGAATGAGATTTTTTACAATATACAAATCGCACAGGGAGTGTTTGTATGGGTCTATACCAAGCCACAAATGAAAGTTGTATAACAAAAAGAAATCTTCTTGTAATGAATCAATGGCACTAAGAGAAGTACTGGTGTTCTAGTTTTACTTTCTCTACTGATCTAAGTATAAGGCTTGTTCACACCTCATCCCCACCACGCCTAAATATTCCAAAGCCATTTTCGAAACAGAGCTTCAATCTGCGTGCATTCAGCAACATGTAAGGTGGCAGCTCTTTCGACGACGTGACTGAACAAGTTGACGAAAAAAGGATTGGAGGAAACACTAACCGCGGACTCTGGGGCAGTCATTAGAAAATGAAAGCTGCGAGTAGAACATGCATTACAGCCCAGTACATCATGATCCCAAGCCGGAAGGCAGGTTGCCGCATGAGAGCTCGATCACACGAAACCCTGACATATCAATCAAACATGGAACGTTATTGTTACAGGTGCCCTAGCAACCCGGGAACTGGAGATAGAAGAATGGAGACCAATTTAGCGTACCATAGACCATCAATCGTGTCAGAGACGGGCCTCGTGAATCTGGGAACGATCCTAGATGTTGTAAGCGACTTGAAGCCGTGAACTGCAGTGAAAGAGAAAACAAGAAGATGAACAGGCAGCGGGAAAGGAAAAGGAGGGATCCTAGTGTGACAACTTAACAGAGGAAAAAGCATGCTAAATCTACTATAAGAATTACCTTTATCGTCATCTTCATCTTCTAATCGACCACTGCCTTCTTGATCCATATCTATAGCAATAGCGACTTGATCGTTGTTTGCTTTCCGCAAGCTTCGAACTTGAGAAGTAGTAGATGGCCCAGCCACCGTCCATTTGTTTATCTATAAATCAAAGGTAAAAAAAGATTAGGACATTTCATAACAATAACACTTTTCCTTGCCTCACAAGACAACAGCCTAGTAGATATGAAAACAAGATGACCCTCAGAGATAGCATGCTATTCAATTAGCCAAAAAAAAAAAGATAAAGATCTCACTAAGTGAGAAATAGCAGATAATGATCATTTTACTGAGGCTGTGAGTTGAACAGGGCACAGACTGATTCCCCTGGTTCTTGAATGAAAAATGGTTTAGACTGATAATCAATCACCTTTAAAATGCAGCGACTGACATAATGTACTTGGGACATAGCAATAGCATTTTGGCACATAAGTGAAATTAAATAACTCACCAATGGTTCAGTTTCAAGAATCTCAGAGGCAGAACCATTTGACCCTCTAACATCTCCACCACCTTCAAGCATATTTAACTGGGATTCTTTCTCATGTAATGATTTTTCCAGAACTTCTTCCCTCTGCAGTAAATCCTCAACTTTATTCCGCTCTAACTGCAGTAAAGAATCCCTCGACTGAGCAGCTACCCGTTGATTCTCCAGTTCCGACACAACAGAAGCAATCTTCTTCTGAATTACTTCTTTGTACTCATGAACCCCGACATTGTCACCAACATTCACATCTTCCTTACTAATCTGAGGAACCAGATTGTCCAGCCAAAAGAACAACTGATGAATCTCATCATCCACATTCCTTTTGTCACTCATCTGAGATGCAACAAGAACGTCGTTGGTACATCTAGTGACCTCTTGCCTTAGAAATGAGATCTCACCATCACGATCCTGCAACTGGGACTGAAGCTTTTCTATCTCGGCAAGTAGACCTTCAGAGAATTGATGAAGCTCGTCAAACTTGCTCATAGTTATTGAAAGCTTCTTCAAGACCTTCCCACGAGAGGATTCAAGATTCTCAATATCAAAATTCTTTTGCTGCAAAGCTTTTTCCTGTTCCTCACACTTGTGTGTTAAATCTTCCATCTGAGCCTCCTCTTCATCGAGAGCTTGGGTTAGTGCTTCTATTTCTGTACGTGGCACCATATGATTATGCAAAGTCAGAATATAAGACAACAAAACAATAAATAAGATAGACAAAGGCTGTGTGGGACAAGGAGCAGAGTGTCTGGTAAAGATTTATAAAAAATGTAGAATGAATAAGAACTTATAGAACTTCTTTACTAATGAAATGGTTGATAGGAAGCGATACTACGAATAAGAAAATGAGCAACTTTTGTGAAATTATTGAAACCGTATTCGATAGAGCAGACTCTTATTTTAAAAGACAGTTAGAAACAAAGTTCCAATTACGAGTGAGGCACCATTTACCAAATGTTAATGAAAAGTGTATTTATTTATTTATTTATTTTAGATTTAGGTTTTAAAAATGAAATGTTTGGGCCAATTGTTCAACTCAAATTTTAAGAGCTCAAAACAATTCAGATGAAACAAACACAGCCCTTCGAGTAAAAAGAGCTAACCTTGGTCTTTCGCAGCAACTGTATCAGATAGTAATCTGATCTTCTCATGCAACTCGGTTGAAATTTTCCGTTCATCTTCAATTTCATTTGCTTGCTGCTGTTCCAACGAATTTCGCTCTTCCATTGCAAGCTCTACCTGTTTCTCCAGATCTATTAGACGAGCTTTGGAGGATTGAAGATCAAGAGAGTATCTGGTTGCAACAGCTTCTGCTTCCTTAATTTGGCCAGCAAGTTCCATGCATATCCTCTCTCTCTGAATATCCTTCTCTTGAAGCTCTCTCTGCAAGCTTGTTATGGTCGTCCTCATTTCCTTTCTATCACCCTCAAAAGTTCCACTGTAAAGACTGATGAAGTCCTTCACGGCGCTCATCATTCTCTCTGCTACATTCCTGATATGCTCCTCTGACAAAGAATTAATCTTCCCACTTACAGGAAGCCCACCAACATCTAGAAGTTCTTGTCCCATCAAATTTCCAGGAGCCGAAGTGCGGTCAACAATTTCAGCTTTCCTATTTCCTATTTCCTTCAGTGAACTGAGGCATGTTTCATAAAGGATAAGAAGATTCCTGTGCAATGCACCAGCTTCACTTTCCTTCTGTTTTACAAATGACTCTAGGTATTCAACATCTCTCTTCAAAGTTTGAGAAGAATCTCTATTATGACTTATTTCAATTTGAACAGCATGGATCCGTTTGCACAATTTGTCGGCTTGCTCATGTGCTGCAAGAGAGTGGTCCTTCATGAAAATTTTGAGAGCTACCATTTCATTCATGCATTCTTGTACCGAACTACAAACTCCAGGAATAGCAATCTCATCATCAAAATGGTCTTGCATGATGGCTTCTGAAAAAGGCTCCACAGCAAGAGTCTTGTCCTGGAAAGGATAAGCAATTTATATCAATAACTATAAGCAAAGCACCATTGGAATAAATGCATACTTTACGAGCTCCTTTAACTACAGCAAAAGACATCACTTACAATCAACAGAATCAAATGAATAGGAAATGACATATCAAATGCACGGAAAAATAGCATTACCTTGTTGTCAGAATTAATGATGAATGGCAACTGAGACATATCATTGACTTCTGTATTTTGTAGTAATGACTCCATACCAGCCTCAAGATTTTGAATAAACTCTAAATCCTTGGTCAGATGACCAACAATTAGATTATTGACATCTGAGAAGATCTTCCTGAGTTGATCAGTGTAAGATATCAAAACCATGAGCTCAGCATTTTGCTTCTTTTTCTTCTCAGACTGTAATGTGGATAACTCTTGGATATGTGATACAGCTTCAAACTTGGCGGTCTCAGCTAGATCTCTGGATGTAGACAGCTCTGAAAGCTCAAAGTTAGCCTTTGATAGCTCTTCTTGAAGGACATCATTCCTCTCTTGGACCTCATTCAGTTCTGCAAGCAGAAGCTCTGATGCTCTTCTAGATTTAGCAGAATCCTGCTCTGAGGAAGCAAGAGCAGCATGCATATCTTGATACAGTTTCCTTATGTGCTCCAATTTCTCAAATGGACTACTAGTGTTAGCCACTTCATCACCAAGATCAATGCTGCTGAGACTATCCACAACCCTCGCTAAGCTTTGTTCCCTTTCATGTAAAAGGTGCTCAGTTTCAGCCGAACGATTCTGGAAGAACAAAGTCTCCGATTCAAGGGCCTCTACCCGCTCAGAGTAAGTAGATGATAAGTCTGTTATCTTCTGTTCATAGTTCACAAGAGTGCTCTCCTTCTGTTTAATCTCAGCTTTTAAGTGCTCCAACTCGATATTCAACTCCTCTATGGTTTGTTTCAGAGAATCCCGCTGTTGCACCAAGGATTTCCCCTTTCTCACTGCGATGTTTAACTTCTCTTTAGCAGATACGCATTTCTGCTCTTCCTGCGTCAGTAGGTCTTGCAACTCCATCCTCTTTTTGTCAAGAGCTTCAACTTCAGAAATCAATGATTCTTGCTTACGTTTATACTCATCTCTTTCTTCCTTCACCTGACCCATTTCTTTAGAAGTTTCATCCAGCTCTTTCTTTAGAGCATTCCAGCTTGAGTCCTCAGGATCATCCCCAGTACCTGGCTCTAGACGGACAACATCCAACTGCTCAGTAGCATCTGCATCCCTAGTTCTCGCTTCAACAAAGCTTGCAACAGCTCCTTCAGTACGCTGTTCTTCTTCAGTTGCAACCCCAGTGGGCAAACTCTCAATAAGTTTCATCAGTAGCCCCTCCAAGCACTCTGTACCACTACCTCCACCAACCAAATCTTTTGCACCAGGATCCTGCAATGTGTTGCAGATAATTTCTTGAAGTCTTATAATCTCGCCATTAATATGCCCAACTTGATACTCGTACCCTTCTTTCTCAACCAATTTCTCCCGCAAAACAGTTACTTCATCTTGCCATTTTTCACTATCGAGTTCAAACTTGGCGGCCTTTACCGAAAGGTCCTCACTATCATGAGTCAAGGCTGCCAATTCTTTGGAGAGATTATCCCTCTCGTGAATAGATGCTTGGAGATCTGTTTCCAGAACAGAGATTTTCTTCTGCAGCCCCTCTAAATCAGCAGCAAGGTATGTTATCCGCATGTTTGAATCTTCCAAATCTGCAGTTAGAGAACCACAACTGCTCTCAAGGGTATCGACCTTCTGGCGCAAAGAATTCCTATCCTGGTTAGCTTCCAAAAGTGCATTCCCTATCCACTCAATTTTATCCTCGGGTTCAAATGATCTCAAGGACGATGGCAAGTTGATCCTGTCCAACAGTTCCTCCCATCTCTGCACCATCTGGTTCCTTTCCATTAATGATTGCTCCAGCATCTCATTCTGTTCAGCCAACCCATAAAACTTCCCTTGAAGCTCCTCACATTTTCTTCTCAAGTCATCCACAGAGCTTGATCCCATCTGAACCTCCTCCTTCCAGGCTTCTGTTGGAACAAAGCGACCTGTATCAGAATGGGAAGCACCCACAGAACTCTTCTGCTCCCAATCTGGTAGAGGAACAGAATTTCCATTCACAGATCGGGCTAACCATTCAACCTTGTCAATTATATCCCTCGAGTGAAAATGCTCAGGCAGATCCAGATCTTCCAGTATCTCTTCTATCCTCTGCAGCACAGAGTCCTTGAGCAGGAAGGATTCTCTAATTGCAGTGGCCGAGTTACGGATGTATGAAAGCTCTGATTCTAGAGCTTCTGCACGCTCACCCGCCTCTGAATAAGTCTTTAGTTCCATTTCTAACTCGTGCAGTTTAATATCTTTAAACTCTAACTCCTGCGAGCATCTCTCCAACTCACTAGATGTCTCTGCCAGGGACTGCTTGAGGCCATCTCGCTGGACAACCAATCCTTTACCCTTGGCGACAGCCATGCTAAGCTTCTCTCTAACAGAGGACACCCTCTGCTCTGACTGTTCAAGTTCCTTTGCTTTTTCCTGCAAGTCGCAATGGGCAGCATTAAGAGCTTCCTTGGATTGGCTTAGTTGCTCTTCCAGACTAAGGATCTCGTTTTCATGCTCAAGTTTCAATGAACTTAACTGAGATATCTTATCCTGAAGTTCTGCCAACTCCATCAACTGTTGATCTCTAAATAAGGAACCCAGCTCATCAGCGTCTTTTTTATGAGCAAGGACATGAACCAGTGACTCCAGACGAGAAACAGCACCAATTTCTGAGTCAATGCTAGCATCTTTCTGTCTCACTACACCTTCAAGATCTCCAATAAGTTTATCGATGGAACTCAAGTCACCACATTTCGTGCTGAGGTTCTCAATATCTTTTGTTTTATTCAACAACTCCAAACTAAGTTCTTCGTTGACAGCAAGAAGTCGCCGCCTCTGATCCATACAGTTCTGCAGTTCCTCCAGAAGGGCTTGATAACTATCATAATGTATGTGGTCAAGCAATTCCACATTATGTACATTTTCCTCCGTTTCCGGTACAGCAAGCACCGAATCTGAAAGAAGTTTCTTTAGTTCATAATACAACTTGCACAGCATATCATTCGCCCATTTGCTTTTCCCAAACAGTTCATCATACTTCTTGTTTGCTTCAGAGAACATTTTGAAGGTGGCTTCCCTATCAGCAGTGGCAGCCTCTGTTTCTTCCTTCAATCGCCGGGTCATTTTCACAGTAGCATCAACAGAAGAAACAAGCCAACCAGTTATATCCATGGACCCATGCCTGTCAGCTGACACTCTGGATGTTTGCTCCACTCCAACAGAGTTATCAAGTCTCTCAACTGCTTCAACAATCTGAGAAAAGGTGAATTTCCATTCTTGCTCGAGTTTCAAAACCCACTCAGCTATATCCTTATGGAAGCTTTCCAATTGATAAGGTAGCCCAGAGACCACTTCATTTGAGATCTTCTGTAACTCATGCAACTGAATCTGAAGTTCTTCAATTCTCTTCTGGTAAAGATGAAGTTTTTGGTGAAGCTCAGAGTTGTGTGTTTTGAGACTGCTATCCTCCACCGTCAACTTTTCACACACAACTTCAAGTTCAATATTCTTCTCTTCAATCGAACTCATATGTAGCTTAAAAGCTTCATGAAGAACCTCATGCTCAATATTGGTCATTTCCAAATTGTCATACTGATCTGCCATAGCTTCAACTTGGAGCTTGAGGTCCCTCACCGTGGCATTAGCAGCAGTCAGATCATCTTGCTCTCGCTTGTAAGCTGAGGTAGCATGTTCAGCATCCAGGGACAATTGCTTCAACACCGCCTTCAAACTTCCTGCAAACTTTTTGCTTGATACAAAGGGATCTACTGCTGACTGACTCGGAGTAATAATGTTATCCTCCGACTCTTGTTCTTCATGTTGTGACTTTGACTCAAAAGCTTGGATCAGCTTCGAAACTGCTGGAATTGCCTCTTTACCACCAAACTTACTCGAGGATGTTAAATGGTGGTGAATCAGTTCAATTTCATTTTCAAAAAGTTGCAACGTTTTCTCTGCCTCTTCCAAGTGTGCATTGAAGGAAACTAACCCCCGAGTATTATCAGGGGCTGCAAGTTCAAGTAGTTCAGAAATCGGCTTCATTCCGTCTTGCTTACCATAAGAAGAGTGCAGATGTTCATCCTCAGTAGCATCATTAAAATCAGTGCGCTCAACCATCACAGATCCACCTTCAAAAATAGCAACCTCATCTAGGGGGGATTTTTGGACTTGCATGTCACCAACTTCTACCTTTGCTTTATATACATCCAAACTACTATGAAGACTCATGTTTTCTGTCGCTAGTTGTTCAAGGCGCAAGGCCGTTTCTTGCATTTCAGATTTCAAGTGCACGTGTTCCGCCTGATTATTTGACAACGTCTGATGGAGCCCAAGAATCTCAGAGCGAAGTTGCTCATTTTCGTGAACCAGATTCACATTCTCATCTTCTAATTTCTTGTGCTGCTCTTTTAACAGCACAAGGTTCTCATTTAAGACATCCACCAAGCGCCCCTTCTCTTCTTCAAACTTCTGTTTCTCATCTGCCACAGAAACAAGATTACCACTCAATTCAGAAATTTCTACATTCAAAGCAGTAATCACGTTCTTGGACACGTCTAACTCCTTCAACAGCTTAGCATTCTCCTGAAGAAAGAATTCTTTTTCGTCCCTTAGACTCCTCCTCTCATCAGTAGCTGAAGCAAGAGATTCATTTAACTCGTTGCTTTCTCCTTTCAGTGATTCCACCAAGTCCTTCAAATGAGCCAACTCCTTGGAAACACTTGATAAATTTGCTTGTGAGCTTTCCAGACTATTCTGCAATTCATAGGCCCTTGCAGAAACTTCATCAACCTCTGCCTTGGATGCTTCTAATCGACTTTGAAGCTCTTCCTTACTGCCAACAGCATCATTGAGGTCAGACCTACAAGCTGAGAGCTCCTGAACAAGGCCATCACTCTTAGCATGAGCTTCCTTGAGTGAGGCCCTCGTCCTTGAAATTTCTTCAACCAATTGCACAGATCGGCAGTCGTTTTCATTTTGCAAATCAAGCTGCTCCGAAAGTTGCAGGTGAAAGATATCACTAGTGCACCTGGCAACAAACAACTCTTCGCAGAGTTTCTCCAACAAAGCATGATAGCCAGGTTGTGGTGCTCTCAAAATATCATTATCTAAGTCCACTTCAGATACTGAACCTCTTGACTTGATTAATAACCCAAAATCATCTTTACTAAGCCCCTTCGTCACCTCGATAAGTTGCACCAAATTGATCGGGATCGGGGCTGATTCAGAAGGCCTTATAGTTCCATCAGGAGGAGGCTTGTCACTCCTTTCATTGACAAACCCCATGGACTTCTCTTTTTCACTTTCAGATACATCATGCTCTTTGCTGTGATTATCAGATTTAGAATGCATTTCTATCGTGTCGATGACAGATGAAGCCTCTACAGCGACTACCTCTTGAGTTATTGGCTCCTTAGAAGCACTGGAGGTACCATCTTCTTCAGAGGCAGGGAAAACAGACTGCATGAGTCCATCTGACTTTTCCATTCTGAAAGTTAGTGCGGACGCATCAGCGTCAATCTTTTCTGACCGGATAGTAGCTTGCTCTACACAAGCATCCATCCCAGCTTCCCCTTTTACAGTTCCATCAGGTACACTGCTTTCAGATGAACTATGTTGCTCGTCACTTTTAGGATTTGAGACATAACTAGTATCAAGTTGCCTTGAGACCAACCCATGAGCTTCCTGCATTGCCCCTACCCAGAAAAAAGTGAGAATTTAACTAACATCAGACCATGCATTCCCATTTAACAAAAAGGAACTAAGCAAAGAAAATTGCCAAAAAAAATGTTTGATAAAATGGACAGAATAATAATAATATTAAGGAAAAGGCTCAAGAGTTCAAGAGCACAACCTACATCGGTTACCTGAGGTTCCCAATCAAGGACCAAAGGCACAGTGGAAGAACCTTCTGCTGGTTCCAGTGATTCCTTATTCTCTTCCCCGTGCATCATAAATTCTTCAGTTGTGGAGACACCTGCATTGGTTATCTGAGGTTCCCCTTCAAGCACCAAAGGCACTGTTGAACCACCTTCTTCTGATTGCACTAACTCCTTATTCTCTTCCCTACAAGTCATATATTTTTCAGTTGTATCAGCATCTGCATTGGTTACCTGAAGTTCACCTTCAAGTACCGAAGGCACAGTGGAAGCACCGTCCTCTGATTGTGCTGATTCCTCATTATCTTCCCTGGGAGTCATAAATTTTTCATTTGTAACAGCATCTATATCGGTTGCCTGAAGTTCACCTTCAGGCACCAAAGGAACAGAGGAAGCACCTTCTTCTGATTGCACCAAATCATTTTTCTCTTCCCTGTGCGTCATATTTGTTTCATTTGCAACATCTGTGCTAGCTGTACTGTCACTTTCAATGTTAGGATCTTGAGTTTCTGAAATCACCACAGACGTAGAACTTGCCTCAATAACCGCAATTGTGCTCTTGTTGGACTCTGCATGATCATTAGCATTATCAAGAGATCTCACATCCTGAGCAGACAACTCAGATGTATGAGCAGGAAACATCCCATCTTTAACAGATTCAAGTTCTGGAGACATTGCTGACTGACTGACATCCTCAACATCATCAGTAGTAGCAACTGAATTCTGCAAAGTGTCCAAACTTCCTGAATTTGAATCCAGATGAGACATATTTACATCTTCAAGAACCTGCCGTAGTCCTGCTGATTCCGGCTCCTTAGATGTCGTATCAGCATCAGCTTCCCGGGATTCAGCTTTGCCAGATTTTTTCTCAGATTTGGCATTACTACTGCTGCCTTTGAAATCCTTCTTCTGACGAAATTGCTGAAGCTATTGATTGGGAAAAGGGGAAAGATCAGCTTCAAACTAATCTTAGATACTATTAACTAGCTAGCAAGAATCAACCAACTAAAAGAAACAAAAGCAACAAGATCATCAAGTACTAGCCTTCTGATCCTATCAAAAACATCCCATTTCTCTTAAACTTTTAACCTAAGCTAGGTCATAAGAACATAGTTTCCTTCAAGGAGAGAAAAGTACAAACTAACCATAAAAAAAAAAGTACAGACTAGATCTGCTATGTTTCATTTCACTTCAATTCAGCAGGTATATCATACACTTAAGTAAAGCTTAATGCCAAACAAAGAATTGGAAGAACAACCATGTGAAGCTAGATCACAGATTGAGATGAATTGGTCCACGTATGGATTCCTCTTAAACTAGTAAAGGAAAGCAAGCCACTAGATCAGATGTATGACAGCATAGGCCCAACACAAAATAATTTCTGAACGATTTTGAAGCTCTGGACGAATTTATACCTAACTGCTATAGCTTTCGAGTTTCGAATAACCAGTCCCAGCATGAAATGAAAACAGTTCACGAAGTGCAAGGAAACAAGGTACTGAGAAAATGAATCAATACCCTTTTACGACCAGCTGCTAGCAGATCGGTACGGTTCTTGTTTTTGTCCATCCGCTCCACCTGGTTTCAGGCCCCCCAGGATAATCAATCACCGATCCCTCTTGCAGCTCTCACTCACCATTAGCTCCTCTCACTGCTGGGCCATCCCGAACAAAACCAAAATCAGCACACAGCAGGAACTCGGGAGCAAAGTAGCAATAAGACAATCTCAATAACTCCAGTCGAATAGCTAATATATCGAGACCAAACAGCTAAACGCACGCAAACTCTGATGTACATTCCTGGTTTCCTCACCCCCAACGAGCTCCGACATTCTGTGAACACCAAGACTATCTCCAACTTCCTGACAAATACGTTAATCTCTATATCCTTTCCACATTTCTTCGTCAGCCAATCAAACAGCAAATTAACGAACAAAAGTGGCCGAATCTAAACTCCTTTCCCAAAAACCGAAACACTCGGAACTGAACAGGAATCCCCAATTTCAATAAGGAAAATTCCAGATTAAATCGGGGAGGAAGGAAACCCGGAGGAGAAAAGAAGATTGAAACGAGACGCTTCGTAAAGGGAAAAAGCGTACATTAGCGCGATCCGAGAGCTCGCTGCCGTTCTCGCAGACGCCGCCGGGGGTACAGGAGGAGGCCGTTCGCGAAATTGCTTCGTTTGCAAAAAAAGAACGTCAATGGCGTGCTGTGGCAGGATCGATCTGCCTTCCCTACTTTCCCACGGGCTTTGGCGGTCGGTGTGTATTAGATCTAACGCAAACTTCGTTTTCTTCTTTACGGCTCTGGCCCTCGGCTCTGTGCTCGCTCGCTCGCTCTTCCTGTGCGGGGCAAGCGATGAAGACAGACAAAACGAAACGAACTGGTGGGGACGATCTGTTAGGTCGAGAAACGGTTGCGTTTTCGCTACAAAAGTGACCGCGCGAGCGACACGCATCTCGTTTCTCATGCCGAGGACTGACAGGCGGGCGGGTCGGGCTTCGATGGATCCGATCCGGTTAAGGGTTGTATCAGCCCGACACCTCAAGAAGTTCCGGCCTGCGTACCAGCAGTTAACCCAGAAGTCCAGAACTGGGTTTATATCTAAATCAAATGAGGCCGACGGGCCGAAGAATGGGGGGTATGGATTGGGTCCGTTTGGTTTATATGGATGGGTAGCAGTGTTATTAAAGCCGAGCCGAGCCGAGCCGCTCGGCCCGATCGGTAAAACCGCCACCCAGTCACAAAATCGGCTCGGAACAGTCTAAAAGTCGCTTCGGTTTTATGTAGCGGTTGGCGAGCGGCCGAGGCAGTTAACCGTTCGAGCTGATCGAGCCGCTCGTCCGGTTTTTGTCACTCAGCCACTAAATTTAATTAAAAAAATTGCAGAAAATTGAAAATTGAAATATCGGTTCTTTAACGGTTTTTAAACGGTCTAACGGTTTTATTAGGTACCCTTTTTTATACTGATGACGTTTATTAGGTACCGGTTCTTTAACGGTTTTTAAACGGTCTAATGTCGGTTGGACCACTAAAGTGCAAGCCATTCGCATTATCGGGTCATGCTTCGGTTCGGTTCTGACAACATTGATGGGTAGGTAACCTTTTTTATTAACATTTTGCACAAACTTAGCATAGTTTTAGATGGGAATTGACATAACGATCATTTTCTTATGCTTCCAAATATGTATTACTAAATCGTGCAAAATGAAAGTTTTGTAGTTGCGTACAAAGTACAAAGTTTTCTTATTGGCTATTTAGAGTTTTCACTTAGCACCCATTGAGTTATTTAGATTTTTGTGACCAAGGCACTATACTATGACGAGGCAACTTGTTTGGTAAGGTTGTAGCTTCCTGGTCTGATTACCATGATTCAAATTCTTGAAATTTCAGTGTAGACTCCCTTCTGCATACATATATTCATGCCTTTAAAATCGATACAGTGTCTAGGAGGTAATATTCTTGTCGCCGAATATGTGAAGGCACGTACGAGACTCTATGAGATGTGAACAAAACCACATGGCATTGGCCTTCTATGCTCTGTCTGGACCATCCAAACTCAAATTAACGGAGATCTAAATCCAGAAAAAGCTCTTGTACTTGTAGCCTTAACTCGTCCATGAATATCCACTCAATCCAAGTACAACAAGGTAATCAGTTTCTAACTCATCCTCCCTCTTCTAAATCCCCCCAACTAGCTTGATCGAGTACAGATCTCGATTAATCCGACTATATTCATTATTTACTATTTGATCTTCAACGATATGACCAACAAACTTCGCACAGACAGACGCACACCCAACATGGAATCCACTTTCTCCAAGTTCGCCACCCTCCTTCGAGAATCATAGCCCAAATCTTCCCAAATAGATCCACCCCTCTTATTTAGTTATTTTCATTATCCTCAACCGTTGATTTCTCGACAAGAATAATAATCATAAGAAAACTAATCAAAAGTCAACTACAAATTGCTGGGTCTAGAAGCTTGAAGAGCAACTGCCTAATTTAACAAACCAAAGCACCACGTCTGGTGGATTAAACAAATATATATATAAAAGAATAGAATAGATGCATTTGATTTTGATCACAAACCTAACTAATTAATGGAAGGCATGGCTCGACACTTGCAGTCAACTCCAGCTTCGAGCTCTGTATATGTTGACAAATGACAACCACTTACATAATAATAATAATTATTATTATTGTTGGGCATGTGACTCGGACCTAGCTGTGCAAGGCAAGACGCGCCGACAGAAGGCGCGCACGAGGGTCCAAGGCGCGCATGAAGGCCTAAGGGCGCGCCACTATGCGTGCGCGAGTGGAGAGAACCAACGCGCGAGGACCCAGAGCCCCTCACGAGCTGCGCAAGAGTGAAGTATCAAGGCGCGGAGGCTCAGGCGCGTCGTAAGCCTCGAAGCCATAAGGAGCTCACTTCACACTTCCCGAGGGTCGGCCGCATAGGGATCAGTGACACAGTCGTAGGTACACCCCTGACATGTCCTAGGTAGGGGGATGGCCGAAATCCCCAACGTGTCAGTGGTCACATCAGAGCCTAGGTCCCATCATGTAATCCAACCACTCACCCACCACCATGTAGCCTATAAATATGGCATTTACTCCGGTGGGTGAGGGGATCGCATTTTTCACCACTCTCTCTCTACAACAACAACTTATCTCTCTAAAATCTCTCCTCTTGTTCTCCCTCAACTCTCTAGTCTGTGACTTCCCGATCAATCCCGTTACTTGCACTTCTTCTTGACCCCAACTCTTACTCGAATCTAACTCCTACACTCAGTTAGGCTCAAACAATTGGCGCCCACCGTGGGGCCAAGAAGAAGCGCAGAAGAAAACCCACCAATGGCAGAACGCAACCACGATCAACCTGACGAAGCAACGCCCATCAAGGCGATGACCGACCCGAGGGCGTTCGCAGAAGCCAGCAACCTCAACGCGGTGCTTATTGAAGAAGAGGAGCCCGAAATGACAGCTAAAGAAATGAGGGAGCTAGTGACAAAGCAAAACAACGTCATAGCCGACATGCAAAAGCAAATGAGCCAGGTCATCGCGCTCATGATGAGCAGGGAAGCCGCGCCAACAGCAGAGGCAACGGCGGTCGCGCCTCAACAAGCTGTGGGAGAAGCGTCCGGAACCGCCCAACCACCACGACACGCGCCAGCGGAATTCCCCGCGGGAGAAACGCAGGGAGTTGAATTACCAGGACGGGCGGACCTCAGCTTCTTGGAGCAACACCTGTCTCCGCAATATCGACCTAACCCGCCCAAGAAGGTTCTCCACCAGCCGTTGAGCGCACAAATTATGGCGGAGCACCTAAGTGGAGCGCCACCCATCCTCCCAACGTACAACGGCACGACTGACCCAGAAGACCACGTGAGCACCTTCTGCTTGCGCATGCAACTCCAAACGAACTCGAATGCGGCGCTGTGCAGAACCTTCCCGTCAACCTTTTCGGGAATATGCCTCGACTGGTACAACCGCCTCCCGAATGGAATCATCCGCTCGTTCGAAGAGTTCATACTTCTGTTCACAACAAAGTTCGCGTCCCAGAAGCGGCGCCCCCTCCACCTCAAGGCCCTGATAGATATCAGGCAAAAAGACGGAGAAAGCTTGAGAGCCTTCTACGCCAGATGGTCCAGGGTAGCAATGGCCGTCCGCGACCTTACCCCCGAAACCGCCGCCCATCACCTCATGGAGGCCACCAACAACATGGAGCTCAAGCGGGCGTTAGCAAAGAGGCCCGTCACGCTGTCAACAGAGTTGGAAATGAAGATTGAAAAGGCAATCACGTTAGAAGAGACCCTGGGGGCGGGATCCGTCAGGCGCTTCGAGCTAGCAAAAACGCCGCGAGAGGAAGTGGCGCGCCGACAGCCTCCAACCCCAATCCCACGGGATCAACTGCTACAGATGCACAGTGGCCCGAAGCGCAACCCTCCCCCCCCCCACCAGAGCAAGGCAACCTGGTCGGGTTCTCCGGCACCAGAGTCCCGGTGATTGGGGTGGTCACCCTCCCAGTGGTAATCGGCGACCAGGAACCGCGCGTCTCCAAGCAAGTGGAATTCACAATCGTCAATTGTGAATCGGCGCACAACGGCATCTTAGGCCGACCTTTCCTTGCGAAGTTCATGGCCCTCCCGTCGACGTGCCACCAGAAGCTCAAATTCCCAACACAGAGAGGGGTGGGGGAAGCACGAGGAACGACATGGGAAGACCGCGTTGTGGCGCGTCAAACCAACATAGTCGACACAAGAGCCGAAGAACCCCGACCGGAGTCCATGGACTCCGATTTCGAGGTCGCGCTGGACTCCGCCGAGCCGACTAGGAAGATACGCATCTCCACTCACGTCGCCGGCGACGCGATCGAACCACTCGTGACGTTGCTGAAAGAGTACAAGGAGCTTTTCGCGTGGTGCACAGAGGACATGCCAGGGGTGCCCAGAGAGGTAGCTCAGCACAGCCTCGCAGTCCCAGCCAACGCGGAGCCAAGACAACAAGGGCGGAGGGTCTTCACCGGCGATAAGCTGAAGGCGATAGAAGAAGAGGTGGCGCGCCTCCTAGCGGCCGGATTGATCCGCCCCGTGAAGTATCCAAAGTGGTTGGCAAACGTGGTCCTGGTCAAAAAATCGTCAGGAGCTTGGCGAATGTGCGTCGACTACACCACGATCAACAAAGTATGCCCGGGAGACCCTTATCCCTTGCCGCGCATCGACCAGCTGATCGACGCCACTGCCGACCATGAGACATTGTCTTTCCTAGACATGTTCTCAAGATACCACCAAATCCCGATGTCCGTGGAAGACGAAGAAAAAACGGCGTTCATGACACCGTTCGGGAACTTTTGCTTCGTAGGGATGCCGTTCGGATTGAAGAACGCGGACGCGACATACCAGAGAATGATTGACGCTGTTTTTCGCGACAGATCGGGCGAAACATCGAGGCGTATGTGGACGACCTCATCGTCAAAACGAAGGCGGGGAAGTCACACTTGGAGGACCTGCGCGAGACTTTCGAAGCCCTCCGCAAGCACAGCCTCCGCCTCAACCCACTCAAGTGTGTTTTTGGAGCGGAAGCGGGAAAATTTCTCGGGTTCATGATAACCAAGCGCGGCATAGAGGTCGACCCGAAGCAAATCACCGCGGTCCAACAACTACGGGCGCCTCAGAACGCGTTAGAAATCCAATCTCTGAATGGCAAGATAGCGGCACTGGGGAGATTCATACCAAGGTCCGCCGACAAATGTGCGCCCTTCTTTCAGACACTCAAGAACGGGACCCGCTTCACATGGTCGACAGAGTGCGAAGCAGCATTCCAAGAACTAAAGGCGTATCTTGTATCCCCCCCTGTACTGACGGCCCCCAAGCTTAATGAAAAACTTTTCTTGTATCTCGCTGTGTCAACCAGGGCCGTGAGTGCAGTGCTAATATCTCGAAGAGATGGCAAAACCGAGCAACCAGTGTATTACACCTCGCGCACTCTCATCAGCGCGGAAACAAGATATTCCTCGATTGAGAAGGCCGCCTTGGCGCTAGTTAGCGCCTCACA